GAATGAGAGAGAGACTTTCTGGGTTGAAAAGTGAAACAAATTAATTTTAATTATTAGTGATAAGGGAATATATATATTTATAAAGGGATGTGCAAAACTTGATCACCTTCCTCCTCCCCCAGCGACTACCACAGCAACCACAACAACACTCCTTTCTGGTGACTCCTGGCTGAAGGGTGAGGGAGATTGTCTGGGCACACAGATGGGGTCCTCAGATGTTGGCTGTGAAGAGAAATGGAGAAAAATAGCCAAAAGAGAGGGCAATAGAAGCAACAGTAACCAGAAATAGAGAAGAAACCAAAGGCTTTGACTTCCATAATGCGTTAAACTTTGGCTAACCAAAAGCCAAATAGATAAAATATTATGAGAAGGGAATGTTCTGACTTGCTGATCCTGCCTTCAGTCTAGTCTGCTCCCCTGTGGCAGGGGCAAAGCTGCAGACATGAACTTCCCTGCTCTTTCAGAAGTGTCCTTGGTTGTTATCAGTCCACTGGCACTGCTAAAATAAGTTCCCTGAAGGAAAAAAAAAAAAAAATCAGTAAAGAGAAAATTTGCTTCATCCTGGCTCAAACTGGCACAATTACCTCTGGGCACTTTAAAAATTTTTAAAAAGAAAAATGCAGGTCATGTGATGATAAATCGTATGAAGAACCGTGTGTTCAAAATATTATATTAATTCCATCTTCCAAATAATTGACCCTGTGTATTAAAGTTCTAGCACCTTTACAATATAGCTTAGGACCTCACTCCTGAAATAATGCCAGTGTAGAAACTCGGAAGAATAATTTCAACTTGTATTCATGTATCATCTAGTAGCTAACAGCATATCAAGAATTGTTCCTGTCAGATTGAGGGGAAGGTTCCTCACAATTCACCAGGGCTGCAGCTTTGGGCCCAGATGGACAGAAGTAGCTGCCATAGAAAACATTCACACAATCCTATGTGAGTGTATGCCTGAGAATAGAAATAAAGCTAAAAGTTTGAATTTGAGTCAGTAGCTATTTATATACTTGCATGCTCAAGCAACTTATAGGAGTAAAATCATATATATTAGAGAGCATTTTCAGCACAGGATATTGTTGCTTTGCTTACACTGCTAAACAAAACAGAGTCAGAGAGCAAACCTGAATATTTTATTATTGATAAGCCATATTGTTCATATGCTTCCTGGCATGGCTCTGGTCTGTATAATCTGTCTCTTTCTGAGCAATGTTTGTGTGTGATTTCAGAGACAGTAGACACAGTGGGTGATTTTGTCCTTAAAAAATGGTTCTGTGGGCTACAACACAGTCCTCATTATATTTCAGACATTTTGAAACTGAAAAAGCAGAAAAATCAATAATTCTATCTTTAGGACTTCAGAGGCACCACTAAAGTCCCACTGGAAATAAGATCCTGTTTTATTTATTAAAAATGTATTAGTAAGGATCTGTACTTACCAATTCACATTATTAAAAACAACACAAACTTGACTGCAAAACTTATGAGGAAGAACAATGAAATTCAAATGCCTAGTCCACACTTCTTCCACTTCAATTTAAATAAGCTGTGAATTGAAGGATCAACAGTTGGGTCTATTCAGCCTGCAGAAGAGAAGGCTCCAGGGAGACCTTATAGTGGTCTTCCAGTAGCTGAAGGGGCTACAGGAAAACTGGGGAGGGACTTTTTACAAGGGTGTGTAGTGATAGGATGAGGGGAAACAGTTTTAAGCTGGAAGAGGGTAGATTTAGGTTAGATATTGGGAAGGAATTTTTTACAGTGAGGGTGGTGAAACAATGGCACAGGTTGCCCAGGGTTGAGGCTGCCCCCTCCCTGGAACCTGGTCTAGTGGGAGGTTTCCTTGCCTATGGCAGCAAGGTTGGAACTAGTTGAGCTTCAAGGTCCTTTCCAACCCAAATCATTCTATGATTCTATGAAAGATACTAGCAAAGGAAGAGGGAGCTTCTTGTGCTGTCAAAGGTCTCACACATGTAGTACTGCCTTCTGTCCTGCTGAGACCATGGAAATTTGCCGAGCTGAGAGAAATGCTAAGTCAAGTGGAAGAGATGCTGAGTTGGATAGATTATTCACATGGCAAAATCCAGTTTGCCATCCTTAGAGAAGAGCAGAATATTGACAAAGTATCATTGAACCTTTTTAATGTTTTAACAACATTTTTTCTTTCCTAACAACAATTGTATCAGCAGACCCATATCAAGAGAATAAATTGAACATAGTTGTATTTTTTATATTAGAAACGCAGTGTCTCTGATCTTCAGTTACAGCTCTCAGGGCAGCACTGAATCTTTGATCAAATCATGTGTGCTTCTAGCCAGTTTTGAGTTTTTTCTGTGATATCTTTGTATTTAGAAAGCCTGTGACTTGGACCTCCCCATACTGAAAGGAGCTAGTTGAAATGAGGGGGTTTTCTCATTGCCCCAGAGCTTTTAAGTAATTTGATCTTCTGTTCAGTCTCCTTGGTCTGTTCTTGGAACATCTGTTTTCAAAGTAACTGGCACAATATGGTTTAGGAGGATTGAGTACCTAATCACATCAAGTCTGTTCACCATGATGTTAAATACTCACAGGTCATCTCTGATTAAATTAAGGCAGCGCCTTCTCTCTTTTTTTCTGTAATTTTCTAAAAGACTGAATAATTACAGGATGGCTGGCAAACAGTAACAACTCTGACTCTGAAAACTTTCTTTAATATAAGACAGCAACAGAGCTCGTGTGTTGTCAAATGCTGTTCATCATGTAACATTCAGACACTGGAATAGGCTGCCCAGGGAGGCGGTAGAATCACCATCCCTGGATGTGTTTAAAGGTCATTTGGAAGTGATGTTGATGGATATGGTTTAGGGGAGAACTTTGCAGAGTAGAGCAGAGCTGATGACACTAAATTGGGAGGAGTGGCTGACACACCAGAAGGCTGTGCTGCCATTCAGTGAGACCTAGACAGGCTGGAGAGTTGGGCAGGGAGAAACTTCATGAAATTCAATAAGGGCAAGTGTAGAGTTTTGCATCTGGGGAAGCAAAACACCATGTCCCAGTACAGGTTGGGGGCTGACCTGCTGGAGAGCAGTGTAGGAGAAAGAGACCTGGGGGTCCTGGTGGACAGGAGGATGATCATGAGCCAGCAATGTGCCCTTGTGGCCAAGAAGGCCAATGGCATCCTGGGGTGCATTAGAAAGGGTGTGGTTAGTAGGTCAAGGGAGGTTCTCCTCCGCCTCTGTTCTGCCTTGGTGAGGCTGCATCTGGAGTATTGTGTTCTGGGCCGCTCAGTTCCAGAAGGACAGGGAAATGCTTGAAAGAGTCCAGCTCAGAGCCACAAAGATGATGAAGGGAGTGGAACATCTCCCTTATGAGGAAAGGCTGAGGGAGCTGGGTCTCTTTAGCTTGGAGAAAAGGAGACTGAGGGGTGACCTCATCAATGTTTACAAATATGTAAAGGATGAGTGTCAGGACGATGGAGCCAGGCTTTTTTCAGTGATGACCAGTGATAGGACAAGGAGCAATGGATGCAAACTGGAGCATAGGAGGTTCCATGTGAATATCAGGAAGAACTTCTTTCCTGTGAGAGTGACAGAGCACTGGAACAGGCTGCCTAGAGAGGTTGTGGAGTGTCCTTCACTGGAGACATTCAAAACCCACCTGGACACGTTCCTGTGTGATGTGTTCTGGGTGACCCTGCTCTGGCAGGGGGTTGGACTAGATGATCTTTTGAGGTCCCTTCCAACCCCTAGGATTCTGTGAGTAGGGATGATCGTTGGACTCGGTCATCCCAAGGGTCTTTTCCAACCTGAATTGTTCTATGATTCTATGATGTAATTTTGCTCAGTTTATGGAAACCCTGAAGAGTATGGATGTGTCTCTTTTTTAATAGACAATACAAAATACTTTTTTTTTTTTTCTCTTACATTAGCATCTAACTTATACTTTCATGTCAGACTTCTTTACTTACCTAAATCATGTTTATCTTGAAAAGGATCTTGAGATCTTTTCATGTGCAGATTAAACAGCTAGATATAGGAATGAATTGTAGACCTTTGCTTGCCCGCTCTCTCCTGCTCCATCTATCTTTACATTTATTATCTTTAACAGTATAAAAGATATGCACTGAAAAAGATTTTGACAAACATAAGTTTTGATGTTTAAAAAAATATTATAACACCTTTTTATTTACAATAGTATCACTAGTATCAGTCCTTGAAAATATTATTGCATGTGGGACGACAATACACCTTTATTGTAGATAGGTGTCTTCATTATACTGTGACAAATTGAAGCATAGAGAAGCTTCCTGTAGGTGCTCTCTGCTGTCTTCTCTTTCTGTTTATTGTTTATTTGGCCTGTTAACAGGCAAGCAACATTTCTTTCAGTGAGATGAGATCACCTCAGGTTTGCATCTTTTTTCTAAGATTCTGTAGCATCCTGCTTAGACCTCATGTTCTAGCACACCAACAGTTTCAAGACTGAGCGTTTTTGGGTGGGTTAAAGAATGTAGGAGACACATGGAAGAAGTGAAAAGGTCTCTAGTGAATTAGTGGTTGGTAAACAATCAGATGTACAGAAAATGGAGCACAGTCAGATAGTATGCTTTGCCATTCAGGTAGTAGCCTTAGTTATGTAGTATGGTTAGGTTTGTATGCTACTGCAGAGCCTATTGAAATTCCTTGTGGTGTGCCCACTCACTGTTGGCTTGGGGGAAAGGATGTTGCTCATTCACTGCTTCTCCTACCATAATGTTGCACCACCCATGGGGCTAAAAGCCATTTACAAAGGCTGTGGTGGTGAACTAGCCACAATGCTTGATTATCCTGCAATAAAGGACTTCCCAATACATTTCAGAAACAGATGTGTCCTTTGCTTTCTAGGAATTACTGTGCCTCCCTGCAAGCAGAAATGGAGTCTTTCTGCTACCTTACTCATTACCAGCCTGGAGGTTGGGAAAAGACTTGTGGCTGGCTGCTCTGGGGTCTAACAAACTGTGACTGCTCTGTGCCAGACGCATTTGCCAGGAGGGTTTCTTGGAATGTCTGAAAGTGACAGTTCTTTGCTTATCTCAGCGGTTTCAAAATCTTACCCTCAATATGCCAAGTCCAGTCTTGATCCTCTTGTTGAGGCTGTCATCGTGTTCTTGCACACATTTTTATTCTATCATACCATAGTCAAGGTGGCCATGAAGCAATCTGTGCTCCATCCAACCATGCTGGGGATAATAACCGGTTTCAGGCAGCTTTTGGCTAACTGGTTGATAAAGGTAACTGTGGTAGTAACAATCTTGATAGGTTTATACATGAAGTATCCTAAGGTAATTACCTAGGTAATAGTCAGACATGACCCTTCATTAGGCTGTAAGGTTTACCTGAGTAGCATTTACTGACTTTGACCTATTTTAAGTAGTACAGGCCTAATCTTGCAAGCATTTCTTCACACGTGATTTTTACCCATCAGCTTGAAGATGTGTATATGAATAACTGATTCATTAAAAGAGTAATTTCATTTTCTTAAAAAGCACCAAAATATGCAGGGTTTGTTTTTTTTAAAAAAGCAACAAACCAAATCCTAACCAAAAAATCCCCACAAAACAAACATTGCTTTGTTTCCCAGTAATAACTGTGATATGTAATACACAGTTGTTCTGCCACCTTGACTGAATATACATTTACCATCTTCTCTTTGAGCAGTTTCAGTAAATACAATGCAATTCTTTAATAACTGATTTTTTCCTTATGTTTTCAGAGGCGACCATTTTAAGCTATGATGGAAGTATGTTTATGAAAATACAGCTCCCTGTTGTGATGCATACAGAGGCTGAAGATGTTTCTTTACGGTTCAGGTCTCAGCGAGCTTATGGCATTTTAATGGCAACTACTTCTAGGGAATCTGCCGATACCCTGCGTTTAGAGCTGGATGCGGGACGAGTTAAACTAACGGTCAACCTAGGTAACAAATTCTTCCTCTGAGCAATTAACATTTTATTTACATTTTTCTTTTTGCTTGCAAACATTTATGAAACAGCCTGTTTTAGCATCAAAAGTAAACTGAAATTATATATAAGCACATGTCAATGCAACATTTGCATATGTACATACACACAAATACATGCCCATTATTATACTTTATTTTATTTTCTTTTGCATTTTTGTATTCTTTATATTCTTAACATAATCCATCACAATATTTTTGTACTATTGTGTACACTAAAAAGAGAAGACTAGTTCATCAGTGGTATTTTGGGGCTAAATTTTAAGACTTCATTGTGGAAGATTTGTCTCCCTCCACAATTTATTCAGAGTAGCAATTCCACAATTTAAATGTGCAAGCAGAAACAACACGTATGTAGGTCAGTTCAATTTTACCTCCACCAATTAATGTGCAACATGCAAATGTATAAAAGAATTTATAGTTTTAACTGTGAAAATGTTGCATTTAGATATTTCCTCTGATGAATGTCTTTGTCTCCTTTTTTTAGGTGTCAAATCTATAGTAAATCCATTCCTCTTTTTTTAAACAATTCTGTAGTGGTATTTTTGTAGTATCAAACGATAACACAACCCTTCAATGCCCAAAGACTGCGGCCCTCAGCAAACAGCCATGTGAACACAGAAGGCACAAGCCCTTTTACAGAAAAAATCCCCAACTCATTAAATTGATTCCTGATTTGAAACATAAAGGACGAAATATTAAGTTATGGTTTTCTGTAGTTTAAAGAAAAGTAAATGAAGCGCTTCTGCTGTGCTTGTGAGTAAATCCAAGTTAGGAAGTGCAAGAGAACAGAAGTACAGTCAGGAAAAGGCACAGTCAGTGCATTCCCATTCAGTGAAATGTTATTTTTCAAGGGAATTAGGTTTTTTATTGTTTTAATCGCAGGTAAAATTATTTCCAGAAAGCATGGGCCTGGGGAGAGAAAATAATCGGCTAACCCTCCATTTCATAAGCGTGTTGCTCAGGGAAACACTGTCTTGGTGCTGAGATTTCGGAAGCGAGGTTTTCCCTTCTCTCCTCTTCTCTGCCGTCCCCTCTAGTGTCGAGCCGGGGCTCCTGCAGGCTCCGGAGAGCTTTCTGTGAAAGGGGATGTGCAGCTGCTGCTCTAGGGCTGTTTGCAACCACTTTTCTGATGCGGTTGACGACACATGACAAACTCAGCTATATGGAAACAAAATCTAGGTTTGATGGTATATATGGTCCTCAAAGGTATAAGGCAGAAGTAGCTGTACAAACCAAGTAGCAGGGCATCGGTTTTGTGTTATTTTATTTTATTTTAATAATAAATGCAGATAGCCCAGCAGAGGATTCAGCTGCATATCAGGTCATTCTCTTTATATACAAACTACCACCCTCTGTCAGCTTTTACCTACTTTTATAGCTCAATAGTTAAAAAAAGGAAATAAATGCATACCTCAGCAAAGGGTCTTTGCCCAACATCCCTCTTTACTTTTTCTTTCTTTCTTTCTTTCTTTCTTTCTTTCTTTCTTTCTTTCTTTCTTTCTTTCTTTCTTTCTTTCTTTCTTTCTTTCTTTCTTTCTTTCTTTCTTTCTTTCTTTCTTTCTTTCTTTCTTTCTTTCTTTCTTTCTTTCTTTCTTTCTTTCTTTCTTTCTTTCTTTCTTTCTTTCTTTCTTTCTTTCTTTCTTTCTTTCTTTCTTTCTTTCTTTCTTTCTTTCTTTCTTTCTTTCTTTCTTTCTTTCTTTCTTTCTTTCTTTCTTTCTTTCTTTCTTTCTTTCTTTCTTTCTTTCTTTCTTTCTTTCTTTCTTTCTTTCTTTCTTTCTTTCTTTCTTTCTTTCTTTCTTTCTTTCTTTCTTTCTTTCTTTCTTTCTTTCTTTCTTTCTTTCTTTCTTTCTTCCTTTCTTCCTTTCTTCCTTTCTTCCTTTCTTCCTTTCTTCCTTTCTTCCTTTCTTCCTTTCTTCCTTTCTTCCTTTCTTCCTTTCTTCCTTTCTTCCTTTCTTCCTTTCTTCCTTTCTTCCTTTCTTCCTTTTTTCTCCTAAGACAGGCTAGGAAATTATCTGAAAAATAGTTTTCTCTAATTATCAGTGTTTATAAATATGTGATTATTTTGTCTATATTACTGTAGCTTTAAATGTAGTTACTACTTATTACTTAAGTCTATACATCAAGAAAATATAAACCCACAAACCCCTATTTATAGGCCTGGGAAATGCATTTTGTATTTTACCACTTAGCTTTTGAAGATCAGCCTTTGAGGTATACTATGCACAAGTTGTCCAAGATGTCTGATTGTGGTCTGGCTCGCTCTATGACCCATTGTGACGGAGCACTTTCTAATTGCATTGAGAAAAATAACCTGTTCTTTCACAGATGGGGAGAAAGTTGCAGCCTGCCTCAGTTACGCATCTTTGATCCTGATTTTTCACTTAGATTTGTCACCATGTAGCTTTGTTTGAAATTGGCCATTTTTACCCTACTTGTTGTTTCTATTTATAAAGATTTATCACAGTATATATATAAATATTTTATATAAATATTAAAAGGTTATAACAGTATGTAAAGACTGATAATACCGAGTGGCCATGTTTGCATGTGTCTGTCCCCGGAAGGGTGGACTGTGATTTTATTGGATGTCTGCAGCTGTTACCTTGAAGGATAAATTTTCATTTTTCATCTATTCTTCCCCATCTAGACTGTATCAGGATTAACTGTAATTCCAGTAAGTGCCTATTCAAACTTTTTAAAATGTTATTCCACCATTATAAAATATGCAACCTAGATGAAAAACATTGTGGACAGCTTGCAAGCACTTGATAATTTATTAATGAAATGTGATGGTTAATTATCATTGTGTAAAAAATCATCATATAATCTAGTGTGTATTTTTTTGTCTTTCCCACAGGATATAACTTTTAACTAAGGTATTAAAAAAAGAAGTATTCTACAGGTTGTGAACATACATAGAGGAAATGGGACCTGTAGTACTGTATTATTCTAGATGGGCTATTTTATTGACAGTAGCCGTAGAATTTTCTAACGAGCATTTCTGATAAGCTGTCACATCTTTTCCTTTGTGCTCTTCTCGTTTTCTTGACATTTTACCTCAAAGTTGTGGTGAGACTGTTGGAATATAATTGTCCATAGTACAAGAATTTCTGTTTTATAATCCTCGTAGAAAATTAGCTGTATTTGCTGGCTGCTTATAACACAATTGGTTTTCCTAAATCTTTGTTTTGTTGAAATGTAATACATTACAATAAGGACATTATTACGTCTGAGAATAACCATATTTCTATGATGATTTTTTACACTCCAATCATGTAAGAAACCTTAAATTGAACATTTTTTCTCTGTGTTGTGCATGTTTATGAAACAGAGGGAAACATTTGCCAGATGAATGGACTAAATTTTAACTTCTCTGATATTATTTGGATTAAGAGGCTATATTCTGAAAGGAGAAAAAGGACTGTGATTTTATTTTGAGTCTATGGAATTCCTGAATGGTGTCAAAAAAATTATTGATAGTAAGTATGGTAGATTTGAGTTTTGGATTGTTTTTTCTTTCTCTTCTTAAGAGGTTTTGAAGGCCAGAGGACTGGCTTAATGCAAATAGAAACAAGGCTAAACAACAAACTGCCTAGGTAGAATATATAGTCCTTAACAGTTGCCCAAAACACATTCATCTAACAGCCCATAATGGTTCTATAGTCCACAAAGAAAAAAAAAGCAAATGCAGTTATTTGTAACATGTCGTCTGTGAATAAGTTTTGCAATTAATGACTTTGTAAAGTATTTGTACTAAAATGCAAATGTTTCTTAGGGTAGACTTTTAATCTAATCCATACTGAAATTCAGACAGACTTTTTAATACAGTAAAGGAAATGATTGCAGGTACTGTGGCATATAGATAGCTTCCTCCTATTAAAAAAAATAAAATTGTTCAATTATAAAAACAAATACTTCCACTTGCCAAAAATGTTCATTGCCAAAGCATGTAGGATAATGAAAAATCTCAGAAACATTTTGTTGGTCTGTTACAGGACACTATTTTTTTCTCCTGACAAAGTCCCAGTTAGAAAAAGATTTCTAAGTATAAACCAAGCAGCTTATTTAGCAGAAATGTAATGAGTTTGCCTGCTGCTGGTAAATCACTTTTTTCCTGGGAAAAGCAATATTACTTTTTTCCTAACTTCCATAATAAAATTAGAAAATCCCTCTGAAAAGGCAATTACTATCATAGAAAAAAATCAGTAATACAGCCACAATACAGTAGGAATTTTGGTTTTTTAATCTCTTTTAAATGAAATGAGGTGTCATAGAACTAAATTAAAATTATTTCTACATTCCATTTTTAAGCAACTTTTGGGTCAAAAGAGAACCTGCAAATACAGAGTAAGTAATAAGCCTCCAATGAGAGGAGTTAACAGGAGAAATATATCTGCTGAACTGAATTAGCAATTACGAGTTCTTCGTGGCCTCTTACAGAAGCAGCATAACCTCTGTACAAAATACCCTTGGTATCCAATACTCATAAGTGATTTTTCTTTACGGTTTGTTCATAGCCTTTTTGTTATTAGACATGAACTTTCATTATTAGTTGCATCTCCCTTCGGTGCTTGTGCACTGAGCAGATTTTTGTGAGCTTCGGTGGGGTAAGTATTGCAATGCTTTCCTATCAGCACTCGCTGTACTTTTCCAACAACCAGATAACATTTCATAAGCAATTTCTGTGTTTTAGTTTTTTAATTATGAAGAATTGTTGTTCTAAGCATTTCTTAGAAGATGCTTGCTTATTAGACAGTGTAACATATTTTAGTGGAACAGGCACAATTCATTTCAAAGCAACAGCATCCAGAACTTGAATTCTCAATTTACTAAATACTGTCATAGTTTAATACTTTAATGATTTTATGTTGACAAAAGCAAATCTGGTTTTCATGTTTAAGAAACTGTTTTCCAGATTCTCCCATTTGTCTTGCTTAGAAATTAATCAATATAATTTCACTGTTGGGTCTGTAATACTGTTTATTATAGCTAGACTAGTAACAGAGTTAAAGTCAGGACTAAGTTATCTGGTTTGAATTTGGAAAGCCAGCTTTAAAAAAACCATAAAACCAAACAGACAAAAATAGATGTTTTTCTTGAGATAAGAAAAGGAAAATACAAAAGTGGGCACCTTATTTCTTACAGTGCATTACAAATCCAATAGATACAATATTGCACCTCCTTCTTCCATTTTCCCTTGAGCTCAGCCTAAAACCTGCCTTCTACCCACTGCAGAGCAAAAGACCAATGGTTGGCTGGTCAGAACTGAGATTTTGGTACCAATTTTTTTCTACACTGTCATACATTCAACTTTAGCTAATGTCCTGTGTTGCAGAAGAGGTGGCATTTTGTTGTCTTCCTGGTTCAAAATAGAGACTTCATAAAAATTTTGAACTGTTAATCAGATCTCAGGTTGCTGCAGAGCTTGTGTCTCATTAACAATGTACTAGAGGTTGTTTACTTCATGCCATTTTTATGGAGCTGAGTGGCATACTGAAGTAAAACTATTTTTATTTTGTGCTATGTTAGAAGAATGGTATCTTTATAAAACCTTACACCACTAAAAAGTCTGTCTCATGTCTCTCAAAAAATACCATTGCTGAAATGTTTGGTTTCTGCATCCTTAAATCACTTCATTGTGTTCTTCAGACCTGCAAGTTTACAAAACTGAAATAAATGGTCCTTTTAAACTGAAGTTCTGTGTAGGTCAATGTTAAAGCAGACATAGGGAAATAGAGGAAAACTTACATTATGAGCAGAAATGGCTACTATGGTTTCAGTATTAGGTTTCATAGACTGAGGAAAAATAAGACTGAGGTGAACAATGATTGTTCAAATATGCAGCATTTCTTGGCACTCATGGTTCTGTAAAATGAATCGTAATTCAATTGCTGTACAGCTCTTATACATTATATACAGAACTGATGAGCTAATCCTTCAAAGTTACCTGAAGAAAAATGCTTTTAAAACCAAACAACCAAACAAACACGAAAAACAATAGCATCTGAAAAATGTCAGGTACCTGTAACTCTAGAGACTGCTGGATTTTATGTGCAATATACTTTTTCACAGGCATGTGCAGTCTTATATGCTATTTTGTCTCTGTGTTTGTTGTTTGGTTTTTTTGCATTGCTATACTTTCTGAAAATAAATTGTCTACATTTTTGTATGAGCCAGCAGAGTAGGACCATAAGATTTTTATTTAGACATGATACAAATAATACTGTTAACTGGTAAATAGCTGGCTGTCATTTATTAATCTGATACTATTGTTCAATATGAAAAGATACAGGATAACACTTTTTTTTTTTTTTTTTTAAATGCTGCTGTGAAAGATTGCTCAACTAGCAGCACATGTTTGTGTAGGAGTGATTTAGGTCAATCCTCTGTTACAGTTTTACTTCTGTAGGCAATAATTTTTCAAGTAATCCCATTGAATTCACTTTTACTCAAATGTAGGACTGTCATAAGTAATTAATAAGAATTGCAGAATGTTAAGAAGCAGGGAGCAGAGAGTACTGTGGCTGTATAATACATGTATACTATTCCCCAAAGAATGTATTAACCAGCTTTTCTACCTGTGTGTCCACCTTTACAAAACAAATAATTTCTTGGGCTTTGAGGCTATTCTCTTTTTCCTTTCAGTGAAATGCCCCTTCACGTCTGTTTTCACACACCTACTGACTACGTAGTGTCTCCTAGAGTCTTCATCCTTTCTCTATATCAATTTTTTAAATTTTATTTTATTTTTTCATTCTACTGAATCTTTCTGTTTTTCCCAATAATATTTATTATCTTTTCCATGTTTTTCTTGAACATCCATCCTTTTAAGACTTTGCAGTTCTTCAGATGTGAACATTAGAGATGATTAAAATATTCTGTATGGAGTATGTGACATCTGTTATTGAAGTATTTTTTTCTTGTTAAGCTATCCTACAAATCCAAAGCATGACAAGGAGGTATGTATTGGTAAATAACAGCAGAATTAGATGTATTGAAAAACCAACAATGGTGTTGAATTACAGCACATTTTCAGTTTTTCACACAGATTTTAAGCAGCAAGAAAGCTTAAGTGAAGTTTCTTTACTTTAGAAAGTTACTGCTTGTTAAAATGCTTTTTGTTGCAAAGCCCAGAGTTTTCAGCTGTGCTCTTACATATATTGCAAAATCTACTTCCATGACAAAATTCAATAATACATTTTCATGCATTAACATCTCATTATCTGGTGAAAGGAATTATTAGAATATATTAGTTCCTCCTTTTCTGTTGTTGTTGGCAGTAGAAAATCATTAATATGAAACAATATTGTAGCTCTCCTCAAAATATAAGATTTTGTATTTGGCAGGTTTTTTTACACAGTTCTCAGAATAGCATGAGGTGGTTTTGATCTTTGTCTCATTCAGGATGGCTGACAGCCTGCTAAAAATATGCTAAAGTGCTTTACCACAGAGGACAAAGGAAATCAGCAGGATATTTTCAGTGCAAGTTCAGTCAGGGACTCCCCTCTGTTTGTGTTTTGTGTAAAATTTGAAATAATTATAAATTATTATTTTAAAGTTTTGGCTATACTGTTCAGATTTAGAGCATGGGGTCTTCAGGTTCCTTTTCACTCAGCAGTATTACTTTAAAAACCCCTTTTCACATGAATTGTTGAAAACTGGGGTCTGCTACTA